CACAGACTTGAAGGAAGACACAGATTGCAACACAATACTAGTGGCGATTTCAACACTGATTTGTCACCTCTTGATAGTCAGCTAGACTCAATGTTAACAAGGACATGCTTTATTTGATGAATAAATAAAAGAAAGGAGCTCACTTAGTAGATATATACAAGACACTTCATCCTCAAAAAGCTGAATACACGTTCATTTCAAGTGTGCATAGGACTAAGACTGACCACAAGCTGGGCCAAAAAACATACCTCCATAAAACTAAGAAGACAGAGATTGAATCAGTGATCTTCGAAGACCACAATGCACTGAAAATATAAGGGAATAAAACACATAAACAGAAAATAAAATCAAACACCTGGAAATTAAGCTGCTCACTGCTGAAGAATGAGTTGCTTAGAAAGAAAATCAAAGAGAAAATCAAAAGATTCCTGGAAATGAAGGAAAATGAAGACACGAGTTACCAGAACTTATAGGATACAGAAAAAGGTGTATAAAGAGGACATTTTATAGCTCTACAAGGATTCCTCAGGAAGGAAGAGAGAACTCACCTAAGTAACCTAACCTCACAGCTTAAGAGCTTGAAGAATGACCAACAAAAAGAGCCCAAAGCAGGAGTAAGGAAATAATAAAACTTAGAGCAGAAATTAGTGAGTTGAATGTCCAAAAAACAATCCAAAAGATCAATGAAAATAAGAGCTGGTTCTCTGAGAAAATAAACAAGATCTATAAATCTGTAGCAAGACTCACAAAAAAGGAAGAGAGAAAAACCGAATAAATAGAACCAGAAATGAAAAGGGGATATCACAACAGAAACTACAGAAATTCAAAGGATCATCAGAGATTACTTTGAGAATCTTCATACCATGAAACAATAAATCCTTGAGGAAATGGATAAACTCCTGGATTCCTATAGCCTTCTGAGACTGAACCAATATACCTGGACTATCTAAAAGGACCTATCACCATCTAGGAAATTGAAACGGTAATAAAAAATTTCTCCCCAAAAACGGAAGTCCTGGCCCAGGTGGATTCACTGGTGAATTTTTCCAAATCTTTAAAGAGTACATAATCCCAATCATTTTAAAGCTTTTTAAGGAAATTGTACAATTATAAACACTTCCAAACAGATTCTATAAAGCAAACATCACCCTGATACCAAAAGCAGACAGAGATACCACAAAGAAAGAGAACCACAGGCCAATATCCCTGATAAACATAGACACAAAGATCCTCAACAAACAAAATCCAACAATTCACCAAAAAAATTCATACACTATGACCAAGCAGGATTCATCCCAGGGATGTAATGATGGTTTAATATTCACAAGTGAATCAATGTAATCCATCATATCAATAAAATAAAGGGTAAAAACCATGTGACCATATCAATAGCTGCAAAGAAAGCATTTGACAAGAAAGAGCTCTCATTTGGGAGAAAACCTCCCAGAAAAATGGGCATTGAAGGAACTTTCCTCAATATAGTCAAAACCATATACCACAAACCCACAGCAAGCATCGTTTTCGATGGGGAGAAACTAAAAGCCTTCCCTCAAAGACCGAGCACGAGGCAAGGTTGCCCACTCTCACCATTCCTGTTCAATATAGTACTGGAAGTCCTGGCCATAGCAGATAACCAAGAGAAAGATATCAAGCTCATACAGATAGCAAAGAAGAGGTCAAGCTATCATGCACTGTAGCACTGTAGCACTGTCCTCTCGTTGTTCATTGATTTGCTCCAGCAGGCACAAGTAACATCTCACAACAACTTGTGAGACTTGTTGTTACTGTTTTTGGCATATCAAATATGCCACGGGGAGCTTGCCAGGATTTGTCGTGTGGGCAGGATACTCTCAGTAGCTTGCTGGGCTCAGAGTTAAAAATTTTTTTAGATAAAAAGTATTTTGTCTTTAGGGCCAGAGAAAATACAGTAGATAGGGCACTTGCCTTGCAAGCAGCCAACGAGGTTCCATCTGTAGCTAACACCTATAGTCTCCTGAGCACCACTAGGAGGAAGCCCTGAATACAGCAAGGTGTGGTCCAAACCAATTCCTGAAATCCAAATAAGAAAATTTTGTGTTTGTGTAGAATCAAGTACGTAATAAAGGGCAATTAATGCTGGTAGCGCGTTCGCCTTACAAGCAGCCAACATGGCTGACCCGAGTTCGATTGCTCCGCCCCTCTCGGAGAGCCTGGCAAGCTACCGAGAGTATTGGATATGCTAAACACAGTAACAAAAAAGTCTCCAATGGAGATGTTACTGGGCCCGCTCGAGCAAATCGAAGATCAATGGGAGGGCCTTTACCTTACCTTTTAATGCAAATCAAATTAAAGAACCAGGATGTACTAGTTTGAATATTTAAAGGGCTATAGAGGCCCTTTAAATGATCAAGACCATCGTGAATTGTATATTGTTATTCAAAACTGGAAAGCAAAACTTACCCCTTTTAAAAATTTACTATCAACACCAAAAGCAGATATCTAATTCATTCAGAATTTGCTAATGTGGCTTATTAAATGACTGGGCAATTCTCTTAGAAACTAAATGATAAAAAGAAATCTTCTAAATTCTAATAACAGAGGCTGAAAATCCTAGCAAAAGCTACAGTTATAATTTGTTTTTGTTTCAGTAATTATAAAAACACACTACAATTTGTCTTTCACCGCAGGGTATGTACAAGACAAATTTTGAAACAGAGCTACAAACAACACAAAATCTAGCATAAACCACAGAAAGTAGTTTTGGAATACACATCCAACTGCAAACTGAATGGCAAATTGAGATATTTAATCCCCAAAAATCTTCACCCTTGTCCCCCACATTGCATGACAAAAATAGGTTAGCTAATTTTGTCACAATGATAAAATGACGTGTTCATTTATAACATAGCATTAACAAAATTTAAAAACATTATAAAAATTATCATTTTCCAGGCAATTCGGATACTGTTTTCTAACAAAAGATAACTGGGGTTTATTTTATTTTAAACTTCCAAAGCCTAAAATGATTTAGCAAGCAATGTAGTACAGTTAGTTAGAAGAGCACACAATTCAGTCAGAAAGCCTCGATTTGAAATTCCACATTTTCTGTGCAACCTTACACAGGTTAATTAATATCTTGGGAATAACATCAGATTCTTTTTCTATCTGCACAACTGAAATATTATCTAAAAACATTTGTCATTTGAAAGATGAATGTCAGGATGGCAGACTCTCAAATATATGATCACTTAATCTTTAATAAAGGAGCAAGAAATGTGAAGTGGAACAAGGAAAGCCTCTTCAACAAGTGGTGCTGGGAAAACTGGATATCTATCTGCAATAAAAAGGAACTCTGACCTCTGTCTAACACCAGGCACAAAAGTCATATCAAAGAGGATTAAAGACTTCAATATCAGAGTCAAATCCATAAGGTACCTGGAGGAAAATGTAGGCAGAACTGTCCATAACAATGAAGCTAAAAGCTTCTTTAAGGATAAAACACCACTGAACAAGCAAGTGGAAACAAATATAAACAAATGGAATTTCATTATACTAAGAAGTTTCTGCACCTCAAAATAAACAGTGACCAAAATACAGAGAGAACCCAAGGAATGAGAGAGAATATTTACCCAATACCCATCTAATAGGTATTTAATACCCAGAATATACAAGTCACTAGTTGAATTGTAGAAGAAAAACTCTTCCAACTCCATCAAAAAATGGGGAGAAGAAATTAACAGAAGCTCCCTCAAGACAAGTACAAATGGCCAAAAGACATATGAAAAATACTCTACATCACTAATCATCAGGGAGATGCAAATCAAAACAACTATAGATATCATCTCACACCACAAAGACTGGACTACAACAAAAAGAACCAAGAACAACCAGTGCTGGCGTGGATGTGCGAGAAAAGAACTCTTTTCTTGTTGGCGGGAAGGTTGGCTGGTCAACCTTTTTGGAGAACAATATGGGTATTCCTTCAAAAAGTAGAAATTGAGCTTCCATATGACCCCTCAACATCTTTCTGGGAATATATCTCGAGGGTGCAAAAAAGCACAGTAGAAATGACATCTGCGCATGTATATTCATTGCAGCAATGTTCATAATAGCCAGATCTGGAAACAACCTGAGTGCAGGAGAACAGATGACAGGTTAAAGAAACTTTGGTACATCTACACAATGGAATACTATGCAGCTGTTAAGAGAAATGAAGTCATGAAATGTGCTTATATGTGGATGGTCATGGATAGTATCATGTTAAATGAAATGAGTCAGAAAGAGAGAGACAGGCTTAGAATGACTGCACTAATTTGTGGAATACAAAATAACAGAATATGAATCTGATATCCAAGGACAGTGGACACTAGGGTCATGAATATTGCTCCATAATTGGAAGCCTGCCTCATTAGATGGGGGAGAATGTAGCCGGAATAGAGAAGGGATCACTAATTCTATGGTGGTTGGAGAGATCGAACGCGATGGGAGATGTGTACTGAAAGTGGATAAAGGACCAAACATGATAGCCTCTCATTAGCTATATTGAAAACCATAATGCCCCAAAGTAGAGAGAGATTATGGGGAAAACTGTCTGCCATAGAGGCAGGGGAAGGTCTGGGATGTGTGTGCTTGGGATACTGAGGACATTGCTGGTCGAAAATGTGCACTAGTGGAGGGATGGGTGTTCAATCATTGTATGACTGAAACTCAAATATGAAAACTTTGTAACTGTATCTCACAATGATTCAATTTTTAAAAAAGTAAAATAAAACATCAAAAAGTGCTTCACCTAAAAAAAAAGAAAATAGACACTACATTATCGTCTTTCAATGATGATAATTTAACAATGTTATGAAATTATGAATTTGTCTTTATATACATAACAGAAACCAAACATTAACAAAAAATTTATTTATAACTTGTACCTTCCCAGCTTCTAGAAGAAGTATATTTTAAAAAGCAAATCAATAAAAAAAATTGTGTTTCCTTTTCTCTTGAACTCATATATAGATTTTTCTCACCATGATGAGGATTTGTGGGCTTTTTCTCTTGGATAATTCAATGACATCTACTTCATTATAATAGAGATTTTCAAGACAGCCATTAAAGTTTTTACGTGGTAACACCATTGATTTTCTATGCTCGGGGACCCCTCCAAAGCTAATCTTAGAAAGAAGAAAAATGACATAAATAACACTATTTAATGAGTTTCTTATCTGCCTAAAATATTTCTGAGGAACAGGAAAACCATCTAATTTATCTGGCATTAATGATCATGTTAAGTATATGATCAGATTTATAGATGATTCAGATTTACATATCTCCATTTGTCATATTTAAATAGTATGTTTAATACTCTTACAATTATCTTCTCCTATGGCACTATAATTTTCATTGATGGATAATAATTTATCTTTATTTCCATATAAGCCTAGATTAGTCTAATAAGTGACCTACCATAGTTGCATCCTACTTTATTAATCTTTCAAGTGACATATTTGAGAATACTGGATTTTGCCAATATTTGAGTTAGAATAATATACATTTAATAATTATGCTGAAATCATTAATACCAAATAACTTTTGAAATGTTCTACATTGTTAGCTGCATTGTGGAATTACTGATTTTAAGAGTGGATTTGGCAATGTACTGAAATTTGCATTAGGTCTTTAAAAATTGCATGAGATAATGTTTTATAAAATTAAGTCACACTAAATTACAAAGTTACACATAGTTGAGTTTCAGACATACAGTGTTCCAACACCAATCATTTCACAAATGTTAATTTCTCTCCACCGGTGTCCCCAGTTTCTGTTTCAACACTCAACCTGCAACTTTGACAGGCAAAATTGATTGTTGCAGTTTGTATCTCATACTTTCACTGGTTCTTGTTGACTCTGTGGTTCAGATATATAGATAAAACAGAGCTCCACACCACCACTATGTCCAAGGAGTCCCCGACTCCTATTTCCTTCTGTCCACCTCTTATTTCTGTACCTTGCTTTCTTTACTCCCGTAACCTTCTCAGTTTTATAATCTAGGAACAGGGTAACCTGAGAGTTATTTGAACTAAATGGGTGCATTATTTAAAAGAAATCAAATTTTGGCACAAAAGAATTACTTCTCCAAATTATCTCTGTTTCTAATCTGCTTAAGATTGCCCTACAACTCAAAGTATCTTCAAAACCTAAAACTAGAAGTAAAGTAAAGTAAAGTAAAGTAAAGTAAAGTAAAGTAAAGTAAAGGCCCTCCCATTGTTCATCGATTTGCTCGAGCGGGCCCAGTAACGTCTCCATTGGAGATTTTGTTGTTACTGTGTTTGGCGTATTGAATACATCTTGGGGAGCTTGCCAGGCTCTGCCGTGCGGGCAAGATACTCTCGGTAGCTTGCCGGGCTCTCCGAGAGGGGCGGAGGAATTAAACTCTGGTCAGCCATGTTGGCTGCATGCAAGGCAAACACCCTACCACTGTGCTATCGCTCCAGCCCCAAACTAGATGTAATATAAAAGAAAGTTCCAAACTTTGTAAAATGTTGATGTCATATCGAAAGTGTTTCATCTACTTATTCCCTAGATGTAATGACCACTTAATCCCATGTGAGAGTAACAATAGTAAGGGACAATCCATCACAATAGCATAGAAATGAATTCCCTACATTCTTGTGTATCATCAACCACAAGAAATATTTCACTGTGATTCCCAACTCGTAAGAAACACTTTTTCTGTACACAGTGGTACATTTTCTAATAGGTAATAATGTATTTTATTAAGGAATAACAGACATCTCACATTATATTATTCTCAACTATTATATTAGTCATAGAATAAAAAAAATTACTGTACACAGTGGTACATTCTCTAGCATGTAATTATGTATTTTATTAAGGCATAATTGAAATATCACATTAAATTATTCTCAGGTTAACACCATGATTTAATGGTGACATATGATAAGAAATGATCAGATGATCACAGTAAATCTCTTTGCTATCCATCACCATCTCTAGAAGGTAAAAAGGGAAAGTAGAGAGAATACTGAACCTATGGTGAAGAGCATGGTGCCATAAGATTGAATGTTTAAAGAATAAATGTTAATATTCTTATAAATCCTGATATTTACATTTAAAAAGTACATCCAATATATTAGAAAGTGATTTTCACACCTCATAATCAAGATCCAAATAGTCAGGCTCTCCCTTAGCCTGGAAGTGATGTGTGTGTCTGTCCACAGTGAAGTTGACATGAGTGCGGAGGAGCTCAATAAGGACACAATGCCAGTGCTGGTCATCTAGCAGGCTGCCCAGAGTGAGGACCTCCTGGACATCAGAGGAGGGTGAGTTAGAATCTCCTAAAAAGAGAGAAATGGTAAATGAACAATTTCGTCCTGTTCATACTATTGAGGTTTAGCACTTCTCACAATTACACTTTCCTTCTGTCCCAAGGACTGGTGAACTGGTGAAACTATTCTAGGCATGAAGCCAATTTTCTTCATATTTTGAGTAATTCTATTTCATTTGTCCTATAATTATGATTCATATCATTTTCTTGTCTTTACAATAATGGTAGATAGCATGTTGAACATATAAAATAATCATTTTATAGAATAATCAAGTTTATAAAACTTTTTTCATAAAAGCATATTCAAGATACATTGTTGTTGCCTTTTCAAGATACACACTCAGTTATAGGATAATCCATGCACCTAGAAAGTCCTGGCTTACACCCTTGGACCATAATACTAGTTTATAGGTTATTTCTTCCACTTTCAATAGTGTCCTGGTTTTAGGATAAATTAATCATTTAGTCGTCAAAAATTAGACATAAAATTTTATCTAACTAATTTAAATTCCCCAAAGTATTTCCCATAGATTTACCTGAGTTAAGAAATAAGACAAGTTTTCCTTTAACTAACTCAAGTGTGATATATTTGCCATTTTGTCCTTCTCTGTACAACAGAATCCCATCATTTTGCCTGCTCTTAAATTTCAAAGAAATCACATCTTTTGTTGAGCTCATGTATTTCTGCTTAAATGTATACAATAAGTTACTTCTCCCATCAAAGTTAATCATCTCGGATCCTACAACAGAAAACATTAACATGTTACTGAAGTATAATATATTTTATCAATTAGTTGAAATGTGTAAGTCAACACACAAATAGAATATCTCTGGTCTGTTTAACATAGTAAAAAACTACACTGTCAATTTTCTCTGTGCACCAAAAAGAACAATACTTGGACTCAATTCTTTGCCTCTTTTGACATTTCTCCGAAAAGGCATCTTCTCAGAAATTCCATATGTTTACATTGGTCTATTTTCATTCTGTGAACACAGTGATTATAGAGAGATGTTGAAGACAATCTCTCACAAGGAAAGTCTTTTCTTATATTTTATGGTCAGTGAATATTGTTTCACTGAAATGCTATATTTTTTACATACTGACAAAAGATATTACTAAAATTCAATGTAAATGAGTTCAATTTTAAATCAGTAGTTTTAATTTTAATTCCTATAGAGCAAACACTCCCATATACTTTTGCTAAGAATAAGTGTCATAGGACTTTACATTAGATTTACAAAACTCCTCTGAGCTCTTAGTAAAGGATCCTCAGTCATCTAGAAAGCATATCTATTCTGCATAGTACTTCAAGAAAACATGAAAGCCATTCTACTAGGTGTCTTATTACTGTGATGTGACAATTTCTTCTCTACTTTCTGACAGTGTCTTATCTTTCTGACAGGGTCACTTGCATTCAATTTATATTTAAAAGTTTCATCACTAATATAAAAACAACCTCAGTCAAACTAGTATTAAACTGGTTTTAATCCTGTCCTGTTCTCCCGTTTTTCATCGATTTGCTCGAGCGGGCCCAGTAACGTCTCCATTGGAGATTTTGTTGTTACTGTGTCTGGCATATTGAATACGTCACGGGGAGCTTGCCAGGCTCTGCCGTGCGGGCAAGATACTCTCGGCAGCTTGTCGGGCTCTCCGAGAGAGGCAGAGGAATCGAACTTGGGTTGTCCATGTTGGCGACGTGCAAGGCAAACGTCCTACCACTGTGCTATCGCTCCAGCCCAAACTGGTTTTAATATATAGCAATATATATAGAAGAATTAATATCATCCCCACTCTCATATTTCACAACTAAAAAGTCATAAAAATACACTTGTGTAATAAATGAAAGTATAAGAAAAGATGAAACTGATATCTTTCAATCTAACTTTTATAAAAAAGTGTAGTTTAAGAACAGAGAGACAATCCAGGGGGCAGGGCATTAAACTTACATGTGTCTGACCCAGGTCAATCCCTAGTACCCCATCTGATTCTATGAGATCTACTAGGCATGATCCCTGAGCATAAATCCAGGAGTAAGCCTAAGCACTGAGCCAGGAGTAAGCCTTGAGCACTGCCATGAGAGGCACTTCCACAACCCCCCCCCCAAACAAAGTGCGGCTAATATATACTTGATATGCATCTCATTAAGTTTAACTAAACAATTTAAAGTAATCCCTTTATGTTTAAAACTCAAGTGTATAGTAAAGAGACAGTACAGCAGATGGAGACCTTACATTGCAAGCAGACATCCCAGATTCAACTCTTGGCACTGCATATGGTCCCCAGAGCATTGACTGGAGTGATCCCTGAGTCCATACTCAGGAGTAAGCCTTGACCATAGCTAGTTGTTATTCTCAAACCAAATAATAATAATAACAATAATAATAGATCAAATAAATCAACCATTTCATGTAACTACCCCTTAAAAAATTGAGAAGTTTGAAGACAAAAAATTGATGAAGCCAGAATAAATTTTAAAGCTATTACATTTAGACAATATCATTTTCCTCCATGTACATTGCTGAAAGGCAAAAGTAACAAACTTTTTTTAGTGGATTAGGAATTTTAGTTTGATAAATAACTCTTTTAAAGAGTCCTCCTACTTTATTGTCAGCTCTTAGTTACACAGGAAATCAGAATGTTAACAAGGCGTTTGGCATACATCTCTCACAACACTCAGGGAAAATGTCCTAAAAGAGAATCCAACGTTGAAGTAGGGCAGGCACTACTAGTAAACATGTCTGTGATTATTCAAAAGTGAGATCAGTTACCTATATTGTAAAAGAAACTTCTCCCAATTTCAGGATAATGTCAAGGAAAATCTGTATAAGTGGGTTAAGACTATGACTACTCACTAGAATTAGTTCCCAGAAGCCACTCTTTAGGGATGGTGTTATGGGAGCTTTTCTGGAGAAGTCCTCACATATGCCAAAGACCACACACCCACGCCACTGATTTCTCTGCCAGAAGTATCTGCCACCACAAAATCCCTCAGCACCTTTACAGCAACATGAGATGTGGGTGTCTTGGAAGAGGAGCAAACCAGAGCTGTATGCTCTCTTGATAATAGTCAATAGTTCTATCCTGGGGGACAATGAGACTTAGGTGAGTGAATTCAGGATTCAGTCTAAATCCATCTAAAACTTGCACATTTTGTTTTGCTGGTCAGTGTAATGGAGAGAGGGGGAGTGAATTTGCTCAGTCCACTTGTAGGAAGAGGTTGCAGGGTGCTCCATGCTTTCACACTCACACTTTCTCCACTGTAGCTGTGCCTTCCTAACCCTGGCTGGCAGGTCTTGGTCAGCCTGCAGAGTTGGGTGAGGTCAGGCAGCACTGTCCTTAAAGTGGAGCTGGACTCTGGCAACTGCTTCATGCTTTTGATCCCATTGTGGAAAACAGCCCAGAATAATTTTGATCAGATAATATTTGTCATAAGATTTTCTGTTGGTCCTATTGTTTGTTTGTTTGGGGAGGTAATTAGGCACCATCCAGCATGCTCCGGGATTACTCCTGGAGGTGCTTAGACCATACACAGTGCCAAGGACCAAACCAGGTGGGCTCCAGGCAAGTAAAGTACCTTAATGACTGTATTATCTCTTCAGCCTCCTCTATCTTTGTAATAATAATGTCACTTTTCTTTGAATTAGATATGCTGGTGTGTTAATGCAAAGTGTTGAGACCATCCCAAAATCTCTGACTGGATGTATCTGATGATGGACCTGGGAATTTGCTGTTATCATACATTCTCTAATTAATAAAATTTTATAAATATATTTTGAAAACTGCTGCTCTGAAACGTAATTTTATTAACTGTGGTTGCAATCCCATAGGGAATCATGTAACTGAACGTGGGGATAATAAAAAACTGGCAACAGTAAAAGATTTCTGAATGCACAATTACTAAAAAAATAGTTCAAGGGCTAGAGAGATAGTACAGAAGTTAAGTACTTGCCTCACTTGCAATAAACCCATATTCAATCTTTCCCGAGCACAGAGCACCTTGGATCCACCAGGTGTGACCTAAAACCCTTCCCTAAATTCATTGAAAATCTATGACACAATCATAACTGGGATGCTTTTTAATACCTTTGTCTTAAATTTTATTATTTTCATATAGAAAGTCATGGACTTTTGCATGTTAATTTTGTAGCCTGTCACTTTACCATACATATCAACTGTTTCCAGGAGCATTTGTAGAAAAATATACAATTGTTTTACGTAGATTTAAATTTAAAGTTTTTTGTAGATTAAATTTAACTTTTTTGTAAATTTAAAGTTTTTTAAATAAAAATCATGACATCTGCAAAGAATGGAAGTTTGACTTCTTCCTTTTCAATCTAAAAATTTTTAAAAAAGATATTTTCCTTACCTAATTGCTATGGCAAGTGTTTCCAATACTAATTTGAATAATATGTGGTGAGAATGGGCAAACTTTGTGTTTTATTTTTAAGGAAAAGGACTTTGATTTCTTCCCAAATGGTTATAATATTTGTTTTTGCAATTCATTCAAAATAAAACCCATAATGACCCTCAGGTATTTCTGGCTGTGGTTGCTTGCATTGCATGTCTTGAAAGAAGATGGAGTGTGGGCAGAGAAAAATGTAGGAATATGTGCTCTAAAGCACATACATTACACTTTATGGAACATTCTACCCAGGTACAAAAGCTGTAGAAAATGATAAAGACACAAAATTATAATATAAGCGAAACCAAAGCACTACAGTTACCAGGGCTTAAGCTTGGAGAGGCTCCAGGTCAGAGAGAAAAAAGGAAGACATCAGGCAGAGCCCAACAGACTCCTAGTGCACATGAGACAGAGTTGAGTCTGCTGAGAGACTGAAGCACCTGGAATGCATCAGCAGAGTACAGAGAAGAGAGAGGCAGAGAATGCAAGTGACTGAGAAGCAACATTTCTAAAGCTTTCAGAAAAGCATGGATCAGTGCATGCCTTGGGGCTGGGCAAAGAACCACTGACATGTGAATGGGAAACAGGATTGACACACACAAGGACTAGTAGCCGTTCTATTACTCACCCAGAAATCTCAATACCCATGTAATTGGGTGGAGTGCTCAAGATGGTCTTACTGAGGACTGGGGAATAATTAACTCTACACCAAACACTGAACTGACTGGGAATAACAACTTTTTAAAAGAAACACTTAAGGGGATCAAATTCTTTTTTTTTTTAATTTCGTTGAATCACCGTGAGACAGTTACAAGCTTTCAAGTTTGGTTACAATCACACAATGATCAAACACCCATCCCTCCACCAGCTCACATTCCCCGCCACCAATATCCCTGGTATGCTCCCCCTTTCTCACCCTTCCCCTGCCTCCACGGCAGACAATATTCCCCATAATGTCTCTCTACTTTTGGGCATTATGGTTTGCAATACAGACACTGAGAGGTAATCATGTTTGGTCCTTTATCTACTTTCTGCACACATCTCTCATCCCAACTGGTTCCTCAAGACATGAGGATCAAATTCTTAACATTCTAAGACATCATCCAAATATATATTTGAATGAAGTTCAAAAATATTACAATGCAAAAACATTAAACAAAACAAAAGTAAAAGTCTTATCTTTAACCAATATTTACAAGCATACATGGAAACTGAAAAGAATGACCCACAGTGATGACAAAAAAATCAGTAAAAATTCACATAGAACTGATGCATGTTAGAAAAACAAAAAAAATGATGATGAACACTATAAACTTTTTATATTTCCAAAAGTTAAG